CGAGAGCGGTTCCTGTTCAAAGCCTTTGAAGACCGAAAGGCCGCCATACCCATCCAGTCTGGCGCCCAAAATGGACCTGGGGACGCATGCGAACCCTGTCACTGGGGCCTTCGGTGGAGCTCCCCGAGGGGCCACGAACAGTGTGAGGGGTGTGCCGAAATGGGCCTCGTGACGAACCCTGCCACAAGGGCCTTCGGTGAAACTCTCTGAATTTCCCCATGGGGCCACGCACACCAAAACTGGACTTGGGACGCATGTGAGCCGTGCTATTGAGGCTTTCGGTGGAACTCCCTATAAGGCCACGAGCCGTGTGGTGTGTGTGTGTGTGTGTGCGTGTGTGTGCGTGTGTGTGCGTGCCTAACTTTGCTTTGGGACACACGTGAACCCTGTCGCTGGGGCCTGCGGCGGCGCCCCCCGTAGGACCACGCGCCCCAGGGAGGCTCGCGGTCGAGCCGTGGTCCGCGTCGCGCGCCCCAGAGAACATCGAAAAACGCCGAAGAAGCATGGAGGAACAACGGCGACGGAAGACCCCGCGAAGACTTGGTGCAGTTTCCCGTGGCATAGACCTCATGCCTCCGCCTGCACTCCGGCCGGGCGCCTCTGCGGTCCTTGCCGCCCTGCGCCTTCCGCTCCTGCAGACGAGACCCCTTGGTGCAGTCCCCGAGAAAATTGGAAACGGCGATGCCAGACCTCGGGGGGCTGCCCACTGGAGTCTCCGCTGAGGGGGGATATGAATGGGGGGGTAGGGAGGCGTGCGAGGGCGCGCGCCGATCGGCAAAACAGCGAAGAAGACAGCGACCACCTCGTCGGAGGAGGACGAGGAGGAGGTGGAAGAAATAAAACTGCGGGGCTTGGAAACTGCACGAGAGCAAGCATGCCGGCAGTCAGGTGTAGAGCGCAGGACTGTTACTCATCATGCAGCACATAGCTATGCGTCGACGCTCATGCCAAATAGCGGCGACCTCTCCGATTTGCTCCGATTTGAGTCGGGTTGCGCGGGCGATTGAACAGCTCTGGCGGAAAAGATAAACCAAATGCAGAAAGGGACCATAACTGTCCAACCGCAAGCGCAGTCTAGACTCAGCACGGAGACGCCGCCGCTGTCAGACGTGCGAGCTCATCCACTGCACTGGCGAGCTCGCTCGTGCTCTGAAGGGCGGCATTGGAAGAGATCACATGGGTAAGCGATGAGGGTGTGAGCTAGCGCGCGCCGCACTGCTTGGCGCTGGTGACCTTGGTCCACGAACATGTTTGAAAGCCTGTCCTGACACTGTTAGGCAAGCCGATGGCCCCGGGGTCGCGTAAATGGCGAGGTGGAGGTGTAGTGCCCTGACCTGGAAGGTGAGGCCCTCGCGATCCGTCGAACACGCTCGGATCGCGACCACCGCGGGCGACCTCCTCGCTGGGCGCGGGCGCGACGGGCTCGGCGCTGCCCCCGGGCGGGGGCGGCTGCTGCGGCTCCTCGGCGCTGGCCGCGCGGAGGACCGCGCCGGCGCTTGACCTTCGTCCCAGCCCTGCGGGTCTTTTTTTTGGGGGGGGGGTCAGCGGCGTCGCCTGGCGCGAGCTATCGCCCCTGCCCCTGCCCCTGCGTCTTGACCTGGACCTTGCCCCTGCCAGCTATCGCCGACGCGCGCCCTCGGGGGCCGACGGGCGCCGCGGCCCCCGCCCCGGCCCAGAACGGGCGCGGGGCCGACGGGCGAGGCGACGTCGGTCCCCAGCTCGTGCCGAGAGCGGCGGTGGCCTCGTCGCGCACAGCCCCGCGAGGTGGCGACTGGGGACGGCCCCCTGGCGAGCGGCGGCGGCGAGGGGGAGCGCGCGGCGCGCGCTCGCGAGAAGGAAAAGGGGAGCGCGCCGCGCGCGGAGGCAGCCCCGCCGGCCGCCCGCGGCCGCGCGGGCGGCTCTTGGACGAGGGGGCGCCGAGCGACGCGCCGCCGAGCTCGGCCAACGGATCCTGGCCGAATCCAGGCCAGAACGCCGCGTTCATCAGCGCCCAGCAACGCCTGCATTCGTTCTGCTGCCAGGGGCTCCAACAACTTCAGAGCTGGTAGAGCTTCGTCGTGAACATCGCGACAGCGATGCCCAGCGGGGCGTTCGCATGCGCGGGCCTCGGATTATGTCCAGCCGTGGATTCTCCGCGCATCGAAGGTGAATCCTGCGCGGAGCTCGGGGTCCATCACTCCGAACGAGGTGCGACGGAATACCTGTTCTGGCACCGGGCCCGCATGGTGCCAATCGCGCGCAAAGTTCGCAATCTCCTCGTCGGACTTGGTGAACGGCTGAGCGCCTTCCGAGAGCGCCGCGGCCGGCACCTCTGGAGGAGGTGGTGCACTCGGCGGGGTCGGTGTCGTCGCGGCCGCCTTGCTGTCCGGCGTCGGCCGCGAATGGGAGAGGGCTGCCGCGCGGCGTCTGCGTGGAGGTGGCGGGCGCGACTGCGAGCGGGGAAGCCCTTCAGCCCGCGCGCGGCCCTGTGAAACGGGCGCCGCTGAGGCCGCGCGCCCTGCCCCGTTGGGCGGCCGCGCCGGGCGATCCGCCTCGCGACCTCGGGCGCCGCGCGGCGGCGACGTCGTCGGAGGCGCGCCGGGCGGGGAGATCGCCGCCGGCAGCCCCGAGGGGCCGCCGACGCGCGCCCGGGCGCCTGGCGGGGGCGCCGGAGAGACCGGGCCCGCGGCGAGGCTCGGCCTGCAGGCGGCGCGACGGCCGCGCCTTCCTCCCCCGCGGAAGACAGGGGAGACGAGGGCGCGGGGCGCGACCGGCGAGGCGGCGGCGGGCCCGGGGGCTCTGAGGCGCGGTGCCGCGCGCGGCAGCGGCAGCGGGCGGCCGCGAGTGCGCGGCGGCGCGCGGGGAGGGCCCGCGCGCGGGCCCGGCGGCGCGCGAGCTGCAGGCAGCGGCGCGGCGCGCCTCGGCCGGGCGGCGCGCAGGCCTGGCGGGAGGTGGAGGCGGCATCGTGAGTGCTTCTCCCTGGTCCGTCCTGCTACTTCGCTGCTCCTGCGTCCGCTAGGACCGTGCATGCGCTCGCCCACAATCGTGTCGCAGCGCATGCCCACCACTGCCGCGCAGTCTCCCGACAGCATGCCCTCCCGAACTGCCGCGCTACAACATCCCCCCAAACGCCACGTGCCGCGTGACAGACCTTCCGAACATAATTCCTGAAATGTGAGGATTGGGAAGGACTACCGGTTCCGAGGAGGATGGAGCACGCGCGGTCCCTCTACGCATGGTGATTTAAGTTAGTTGTCGGAGGTCGGCTGGCGCTCGTGCCCTGACAGCGCGGTGAGCTTGCCAACCGACGTGAGGGTGACTGCGCACTGTGTGTGTCTGTGTGTGTGTGTGTGTGTGTCACCAGCCACGTCACGAAGAGCAACTCTGTCTATGCTGCCCTCGACTAGTCCGTCCGCGATCATGCCACGGGTATCTCTCCAGCTCGAGGGTCATAGTTGGCCCGAGCTCAGGAACTCGCGGAGCCAAAGCACATGTGGCAGCAGCGACTGTTCAGCCAGAGGCTTCGGTCTCGTAGCTGTGACGGCTGTGACCACTCTCATTAAGTCGAGGCAAAACTCGATTTGCAGTGCGAGCGGCTGTTGACCATCTCGTTGGCGACGTGCCGCTCCAGGGCCACGAGGCCCTTTGAGTATTTTGTGGGGTGCGGTGGCTAGAGCGAGGCCGCGATCTGTGGAGCGGATCGCGGCCACCAGCTCCCTTGTGAAGAAGTGCCTCTTGCAACTGCTTCGAACGCCCCGCACTGCCAGTCCAGCGGGTGACGCGTTAGCTTTATGTCGGGCGTGTCCCCCTACAGGGGGATTTTCGACGAAAAATAAAAGATACCCCAAAAATAACCCGAAAGGGTCAACAAATAATCAAAAAATAGTCCCCAGACGATTTCTGGACTATTTTTTTGACAATTTTTGGTGTGTTTCTCATTTTTTCGTTGGAAATCCCCCTGTATGGGGGTCAGGCCCGACTCAACGTCAGCTTGCCGACGAAAGCTCGGTGAGTCCCCGTGCCCGATAAACTGCGCCCCCCCTGGCCTGGCGTTGAAAATCATACCAAAAGCGCGCCCGTGCCGCGGCGTGCACGGGCGGTGCCCGGCCTGGGCCAGCGTGGATTTCTTTCGAAACGCAAGCGCAGTCTACAACAAAAGCGGCTGGTCCCGCGGTGTGTGTTTGAGGGCCTGGGCGAGGCCTCCGAGCACGTCCCGCGATGACGCCCCCCCCCCGAGGCCGGGGCGGCCTGCCCGCCGGCCTGCAGAGCAGCCCGCAAGCACGGACTGCTCAGAGAGCGGAGGGCAGTACCGACGCGGAGGTGACAGGAAGTGCGAAGGTGCGTCCACACCGCGCTCTTCGCGCGTCCCCTGGATCGCGAGCTGGGAGAGCTCCCGGCCCCGCTGCCGACAAGAATTGCGGGGAAGAGGAGCTGTGCGAGAAAAAGCATGGCAGCAGTGGGATGTAGATTGTGGGGCTTTTACTCATCATGCAGTAAGTAGATATTCGTCGACGCTCGGGCCAAACAGCGGCGACCTCTCCGACTTGAGTGAGGAGGAGTCGGAGGAAGAGGAGGAGGAGGAGGAGGAGGAGGAGGAGGAGAAGGCGGAGGAGAAGGGCAGCTCCCCAGCATTCTCCAGCCCAGACCGCGGCAAGCGCGAAGCGCGACGCGCGCTTCTCCCTGCGCCCCCAGGGGTGACCTAGACGACCTGCGCCTCCGACGGCTTTCTCTCTCTCTCTCTCCCTCGTCTTTCGGGGATGTTCTGACCCGGGTCAATCCAGACCGGGGTCAGGCCTTGCAGAATCCTGCAAGATCCTGCACCCAAATCCGGGTCAACGCGAAAGATCCTGTAAGAACGGGCGCTCTGTCTGACCCCCGTTTGCATTGACTAGGGGAACAAAAAGTGGCATAAACATAAAAACTCAGAGGTCCGTGCGGATTCCTCGGATCGGCGCTGGGGCGGACCTCAGAGTTTTTATGTTTATGCCACTTTTAGTTCCCCCGTTGACCCCCGTCTCGAGGCTCCCGAGTCTTTTCGGCGCGGGGCTATCGGCAGCAGCGCCGCGGGAGTGCATTCGGCGCGACGGCCGCCCACCGCTGCGCAGAGACCCCCGGGCGGGGGCCGAGCGCCGGGCGGTGCGGGTCGGAGGAACCAGGGGAGGGGTGTGGAGAGAGCGGCGGGAAGGGGCAAGAACGAAGAGGAAAAGAACGAGGTGGGGTGTGGGGAGACGGAGAGGAAAAGTACAAGAGGGGTGTGGGGAGACGAAGAGGAACAGAACGAGGGTGACCGTCGGGATGGGGAGGAGGAGGACAAGCAGTAAAGAAGAGAGAGAGGGTGGTGCACCACGCGGAGGGGAGGATGATGAGGCGAGAACGGGAGCGAGAGTGGCAGTGGCAATGGCGATGTGGAGAAGACGGGTAAGATTGGGAGAGGGGGCATTTGCTATGAGCCAAATGAAAGTGCGTCGAAATACCAATGATACCACGAGTGCGTACAGGAGCAGTAGTAGGATCGGGGTGGGGGAAGAAAGAGGGCAGGATGGGGATGGGATAATGGCAAAATAAAGGGGGAAAAGGGTACAGTAGGACTTATGCCACAAGGAACCTCAACAAGAAATCCATATCTATGGGTTCACTTTCTGGAAGACGTGGCATTCTCGGCGCAAACCACCGTAACGACCTTCGACCCAAAAACAGCCAGGAGCACCCTGGCACAGTGCAGACGATCTTTTGAGATGCGCCTCGCCACTGTGGGGGAAGGGTCGGGGTGCACGAAACCACCCCCATACCCACCCCAACCCCCTCCATTTCGAGATGGCAAGAATTCGGTGGCAACTCATGGGAGCCTCCCACACCATCTTGTCGGCTCTTGCGAATCGGCGCTGGTCGACGCTCAATCGAAGTTAGCCGACGCTAAATCGGCACTATCTCATCGACTCCTCGATGCAAATTGACGATCAATGCAGAATTGCGAGGGCACACAAAGCTCGCATCAGTTGCTACCGAAGCAAGACAAGATACATGCAATAACACACAAACCATGTACCGAGTAGTGAGAAACTCGCGGAAGTCCGCGAATGCCCAAGAATTTACGTTAACCTATTTGTTTGCTACACACATGTGCCGGAAACAATCAACCAGCACTCACACACGACACATGGTTTGAGCTCCACCCCCTCCCCCCGAATGCAATGTTGGGTTCGGATCTTCCGAGTTGGATCGTTGGGGCAGTAATGCATCCGCGTGCCAACTTTGTCCTGCGGGGGGAAGGGGGAATTTTGCTCATTTTCCCCCCCACCCGACTTCTAGGAAAAGAGAAAAGGGAAGGCGCGCTGGAAACGGAACTGGCCCCCACAGCCGCGCGCTCGGCTCGGCCAGTGGCTCCTCGACAGAGCACCGTGGCGGACGGCAGCGGGGGGCAACTTACCAGGGGAGGAGGAGGAGGGGGAGAAGGAGGAGGAGGAGGAGGAGGAGGAGGAGGAGGAGGAGGAGGATAGGGAGGGGGAGGGGGAGGAGGAGGAGGAGGAGGAGGGGGAGAAGGAGGAGGAGGCGGAGGAGGAAGAGAAGGAGGAGGAGGAGGAGGAGGAGGAGGAGGAGGAGGAGGAGGAGGAGGAGGAGGGGGAGAAGGAGGAGGAGGAGATGAAGGAGAACATGCTAGATGCGCTAGCGTCACGTCTGACGTCCTACCGCTCCCTCCCATCCCTTACCATGGCGTAGATCTCCTATTTGTGCGCACAGTCGGATGTCGAGCAGGGCGTAGAAGAGCACGGAAGAGCATAGCACGTTATAGCATGGCGTGGCATTGCGTAGTAAAGCATTGCATCACGAAGCATAGCAACGCAAAGCATGGCATCGCCCAGCGGTGCACAACACAACATCGCATTGCAGGCAATTGCATGGCACCGGACGGCTTGGAGGATGAATGGCCCATCTACGAGAAGACAAGGCCTGTCTGGAATGTCGGCTTCACGGCCTCCGCAACGGTGTCTGCCCGATGTGGGCGCTTTCGAATGCCAAGTGCCGTCCGGAGGCGCGGGAACGAGACCAGCGCTGCAGCGGCAGCACGATTTTGAATAACCGAAGCGAAGAAATGAGGGCGGCGCTGCAGCGGGAACACCTTTTTGGGGGAGAACCAGAAGCGACCCGATGGCATATATATATATATATATATATATATGCTTACATATATATATATATATATATATATATATATACAGGAAAAACAAATACTGAAACCGGTGTATAAAAACAAAACGCGGAGAGGACGAGAGACTCTCCGAACAGGGTCAGGGAAGAGAGGAGAGTAGTTCTCATCTCGTGTAACCGTGGAGGGGGAGAAGCGCAAAATTGTCTTCGCGCTCCCGCGCCGCCAACCTGGAGAGGGGCAACCCTCCAGCCCAGGTCGCGGAGTGTATTTCATCTCCGCGCCCCATGCGGGCGATCTGATCGGATACCCCCCCCGTCCGCCCGAGACGAGAAGCACTGATGCGTGTGCCCCAGGAAGGCGTGGCCCAGAAGCGCAGAGCCTGGGCTCGGGGGCACCTCCGCACCTCTGCTCCCGACGGCAGGCAGCGATGAAACGGTGTCATTTGGATCCGCAGGAGGTTAGGAGGCAACGACTGGGAGGTCTTCGTCGGAAAGACGAGGGAGAATGACGCTCAATTGGGGGGGGCTGCTACGCCGGCCGATTGAGCGGGATCAAGTGGGAATAAACGGGATCGTGCCGGGCTGAAGCCAGATTTCGGACAAGGGCAAAGTCAGAACTTGACCTCCCAGAAGTGGCATCCGAAAGGGGTCGGAAATGGACAGAACTCCCTTGAGTAAAACGTGGTTTAGTGAAAACGACCTCGGGCCCAAACCTGGCGGGCGCAAGCCTGGAAAACGACGGCTGCGGCGCCCTCTCGAGAATCGAAAGCGGACAACTCACGAATCGAAGTGTCAGGGTGGGGGTTCTGTCCACCCCCGAAGGAGGGGGTACTCGCGCGGGGGTTGCAGATCTATTGGCAGCGGGCCCCGCCGCACATTGGCGAAGGGCGTGATCGAGCTCCTCCTCCTCCTCCTCCTCCTCCTCCTCCTCCTCCTCCTCCGTCTCCTCCTCCTCCGTCTCCTCCTCCTCCTCCTCCTCCTCCTCCTCCGTCTCCTCCTCCTCCTCCTCCTCCTCTTCCTCCTCCTCTTCCTCCTCCTCCTCCTTCTCCTCCGCCTCCTCCTCCTCCTCCTTCTCCTCCTCCTCCTCATCCGCCTCGCGCTTCTCAGCAGGAGGTTGGCCAGCCGTTGTGCACCCATCACATCCACAGGCAGGGAGTACTTCTGTCGTTTAGAGAAGGATATTGCGCCTGAAATGCTCAGCCAGCCTGAGTGTGAGGCCAAGGCCCCATTGTATAGACTCGCATCGCGACCGCTCTCATCTCATTTCACCTCCTCCTCCTCCTCCTTCTCCTCCTCCTCCTCCTTCTCCTCCCCGTCCTCCTCCTCCTCCTCCTCCTCCTCCTTCTCATTCTCCTCCTCCTCCTCTTCTTCCTCCTCCCCGTCCTCCTCCTCCTCCTCCTCCTCCTCCTTTTCCTTCTCCTGCTCCTCCTCCTTCTCTTCCTCCTCCTCCTCAGCCTCCTCGCCCTCGTCCTCGTCCTCGTCTTCGTCCTCCTCCCCCTCCTCCTCCTGCTCCTCCTCTTCCTTCTCCCCCTCCGCCTCTGTCTCCGTCTCCGTCTCCGTCTCCTCTTCCTCCTCCTCCTCCTCCTCCTCCTCCTCCTCCTCCTCCTCCTCGCGCTGCGGCGGCGGCGGCCGCGCCGCGGGGAAGAGGCTGGGCGGACCGCGCGCCTCTCGGCCGAGGCCTGCCAAGCGGCCCCGCCCCCATCCACCGCCAGCCCTCCGGGAGAGCGAGAACGAGGAGTAGCCAGCCTCGAACTTATCCCTAAGATGGGCGAGCAACCAGCCTCGAATGGAGGGTTCCTCTGAAGTGCTTGGGCGACCCGTCGTCGTCCTCCTCCTCCTCCTCCTCCTCCTCCTCCGCAATCTCATCCTCCTCCTCCTCCTCCACCTCATCCTCCTCCTTCTCCTCCTTTGGTCGCCTGCGGCCCCGGGGGAAACCGTCCAGCCTCGAACTGATCCCTATCTCCATGGTGGGCGAGCAAGAAGCGAGGGCAGTCCTGGGGACGTGCCCTCAGAAGCTGAGGGGACCCTCAGGATCGGCATGGAGGTGAGGTGATGCCACACACAGGGATCGGGATATGCTGGGTAGTCGAAGCCAATCTGGCGCCAATCTGGCAGGCCCAATCTGGCAAACGGGGGCAATCTGGCGAGGGAGCCAACGCGAATCCAGTCTGGCGAATAACCCAAATCCTCCAATATGGGCAGGCCAGATTGGCCCTTGGGGCCCAATCCAGTCTGACAGTCTGGCCTTCGACTACCCAGATATGCTTCAAAATGGTACAGGAGGGGACGGGGAGGAGGGGGGGGGCTCGGCCCCTGGGGGGCAGGGCATCGCCCGTCGTGCTCGGAAGCGCAAGCGACCGTCCATCGAAGCCGCGGTCGGCATCTGCACGCAGCGGGCCAGGACACCCACTTTGAGGGACTGCAGCGCCGTCTTCGGGCATGCACTGGCATAGAGCTATCTTGAACCATCGTCGAAATGCGTGCACGTGCTTGCGCAACAAATGATGACAAATACCGGGGCGTCCATGTGCTGAACATGAAACCCGGCGACAATGCGACCATCCCGTCAAGTATAGCGAACATATGCTACAATCCTCAAGCTTGCCGACAGCACGTTGGGCTGTGTTACAACGCCAGTTGGCTGCCTAATCGGGGCGCCATCGGAGCGGCTGCCACTGCCCACGTAACTGTATTGAAATTTGCCTTATGCTGCTCGCGTACTCCCTGGAGCTCTTCTGGGCCCCGAGAAGGCTCCCAAATGGCCCATGACCGTCCCAAGACAAATAGAAGATACCCCAAGACTGACCTAAGATGGTCCAGATCCTCAGGTGACCCTAAGAAGCCTTTGCAGGCCCATACAAGCCCCCAGGAGGCGCCGAATGAGCCCTCCGGCAAGGCCCTGGAAGGCCACATACGCTAAGAATGTGAAGCTCTTCAGCATTTGTGCTTGCCACATGCTCTGCCCAAAACGGCATCTGAAAAGATTTGGAGCACCAAATCAGCCCGAGAATCCCCAAGACGGCCCCAATATTGTTCAACCGAGTCTCTTCAGTGCTCGGTGGAACAATTGCGCCCTAGACGGCCCACATGCGCCCCAACAGGCCCCCGAGAGGCCCTCCAAGAACTTCCAAAGAGGCCCCCGAGGATGTCCCAAGGGGCTCAAAGAAACCCCCAAGGAACCCGAGACGCCCCCATGGAGGAAACGCACCAAGCATTGAACCAGGGCGCGGGCTTCACGGTGTTCTGGCGATTTCGTGAACCGTTGTCGATTTGATCCCGAAGACAAATCGAGGGAAAACGAACAAATACAGAAAAAACACTGTTTAGCTCGCGTCCTGCGTTGAAGCTGACGGCCGCACTACGCTGCAACATCGTAGGCTCGCTTCCCAGACGGCCCCAGCATGTTCATGCCGAGCCCTGTCGGGAGATATATCGGCAGAAACATCCGGAGTGCACGTCGGTGATGTGCTGCCACGGTGGCGACGCTGCCTCGAACCACCTGGAATTCGGAGCGCGTTGCTCGGCGCATACCGATGGAACGTGTTGTCTGCCAGAAAGAGAGACCCACACGCGCACTGCGGCACAAGAGCCCCGTGGCGCGCACAGGGCACGTGAGTGAGTGTTTGTGTGTATGTGCGAGGTGGGCGAAACAATGCTGAGTGTGAGGCGAATGTGCACACATGTACGGGCGTTGGTACTGATTCCGAATTGCCCGACGCGCCCAGTGACTAGAACAATGGTGCATTCGATGATCAGAGGATGTCGGTATCGCTGGCTTGGCAAGTTCGGTTCGTGTCTGCCCACGGGGCGAACTGGGGCGGAGAAGCGGAAAACAAGTCATGCGCCTAGAGCGGGCACCGTCTACGCGGCCACGGCTCGGCCGTGGCTGGGCTGCGCTTGAGGCCCCACAAATTCTGAGCCGGCCGAGGCCGACCGTAATTCGATGGAGGCATGGAAGCAAGAAGGAGGAGACGAGGGTGAGGTGGCGAGGAAGAGAAGACGGGAAACAATGAATGAGGCGAGGGGGGAGGGCGGGGATGACCAGGAAGAAAGGGGATGACCAGCATGAATTGGAGCAGGAGAAACAGCAGCAGGCAATGCATGAGGACGAATAACTCGAATGGCAAGGGTTGTGGCTGGAAGAAGGCATGGCAGCGGAAAATCATTTCTTTTTACCATCTCAGATGTATGCGCTCCGTTGTTCGAGTCCCGGTAACAGCGGGGCATCCTGTTCGACTCGGGGACCGCGCGGGCGATCGAACAACTCAGGCGGAACAAACAAACCGAGAAAGAGGGACTGCCAGAACTGTTCAACAAACACCGCGCCCCCTCCCAACTCGCTCCGGATACCCAACCGCCACCTGGGGGGCGCGCGCCAGGCTGGCGGAGCGCGTATTCGCTGATTGCACTCAGGGGACACGCTCGTGCTCTTCGGAACGGCACCGAGCAGCTCACCTGAGCGGCGTAGGGCGGCTAGCCAAGTGCCGCGACCGTGTATGCGCGAGGGCCGTGCGTCGCGGTCGGGGCGAGCGAACGTCTGAGCAAAACTCGACGAGGTGCGACGCGCGACCCGCGAAGGCGGAGGGCAGAAGAGGTGACGGGGGCTTCGGAGTGGTAGGGTGGAGCGGGGAAGAGGTGAGAGTTTTCTTTGGGCGCGCGAATGGTGATGTCCTGCGCTGCGCCTCGCCGCTGGGTCTCTGTCTCCGCCACTGCTGCTGAGAGGCTCATCCTCGTAGATCGGCTTCCTCGCGCCCTCTGCGGCGTTGTCCGCTGCGGGCTCCTCAGCGCCCGCGTCCGGGGCGGTCGGGACCCTCTCGTCGTGGTCGTGGTCGTGGTCGTCGTCGTGGGCTGCCGCGTCCTCCTTCGAATGAAAGGCAGCGCGCTTCCGGTCCCGTATTTTCTTTTCGTTTGCTCTCGAGACCACCGCGACGGGGCTTCCCGGGTGCCCTCCCGGGCTCGGCCGCGGGGGTCTCCGTCCTGCCTGCGCTCGTCTCTGCCGCCCTTCTCGCCCTGCTGGCCGCGCCCGGACTGCTGGCGCTGCGCCCGGCCCAGGCTGCCGATGGGCGCCCGGGGTCCCGACCAATGCCTGAAGCTGGGCGGCGGCTCCAGCTCGCGGCCGCCAGTGGTCTCTCAGAAGGCAGTCCTGGGCGTCCTTTTGGACGATGCCCTGTCGTTCGCGCGCCCCTGTCGAGGGCAACAATTGCCAGGGGGCATGTTCTTTTTGAGAGTACCCTCCTTGCGGGAGAGACGGGCGGCTTTGCCTTACCCGTCCTGTGCAACGGTGCCAACATGCGTTGGGTCGGCAATCTTGTATCCTGCCCCGTTCCTCTTCCGCGCGGCGCGCGCGCAAGTGGAAGCTCAATTCCATGCAGGCAGCACGGGCCCCGCCTGCTAGGTTGCGTTTGCGGCCCCCCTGTCCCGGGTGAAATTGTGCTTGCCCAGGTGTGGCTGGCGCCTGCGGCTTGGGACCAAGATGTGAAGGGGCCCAAGGACACACAAATAAATACACACAGATAAAAGGATTCCCCATATTTTCTGGGTTTCTGTCTTCCCCCCCACTGCCCATATTTTCCCATATACTTTCCTGGGAGTCGACGATTCATTGTGTCTGTGTGTGTCTTTCCCTCCTGAAAAACGGTGGAGCGCACCACCAGGCCCTTCGCCCGCGCTCAGCTCCAACAGGAGGGGCACACAACCCGCGCCATGTTGGCCCTGGCGGATGGACTAGCAGCCAGCGCTTGGGCAAGGATTGCGCGTGCTCCCAAGCGGCGGCATCCTCTGAAGGGGCCCTGGGACACACAAATAAATACACACAAATAAAAAGATCCCCGATATTTTCCCATATTTCCTGGGAATCGACGATTAATTGTGTCTGTGTGTTTCTTCTCCTCCTGATTCTCTCCACCCCTCCCGCGCGCCA